ATATGCTTTATCCAGCTTTCAATAAGGATAATCGAATGTTCTTTTGGTTTATAGCCTGGGGTGAGAATTATTTGCCTACAAGGAGCTTGTAGCCCCAGACAACCACATGGCCAGTACTAAGGAGCACCTTGCAGGCTTTCTTCCTGAGTTCAAGAGTTGCTTCAGGCCCTATCAGCAAAGACAGCCTAAACAGCCACATTTTTGGCACTTCTTCGTACTTTCTGAAGCAGGACTAGATCAACATTGTTCCTGCATCTGGTAACAAGCATCACTGCTCCTGCAGGAGCAAAGATGGTACAGCAATGGGGCTGCACTTGTTGGAAATGTCCAAAAGTTTTTAGTAACATGACTAAATGGAGAGGTCAGAGGAACTGTCTGCTGGTTGTTAGGGTTGTTATGGCTGAAGTTTTAAAAATAATTTGTATGGTACTCTTGCTTGCTTACCAGGCTTGAGCTTGCTGCCCTTCACTCCCAGTCCTTGCATGTATTTGGGAGTGGCTGGTATGGAGTTGAGGTTCTAGGTAATTTCATCCCATTGAGACAAGCCTCAGGACACAATCCTATGCACGTTTAGACAGAAAGAAGTCCTAGAATTCATCATTCCCAGCTGGGGCATTCCGAGGGTCATGGAATTTTTCTGTTTACGCATGAGAAGCATCATACCCTTGGTCCTCAAGCACTCACAAAGGTTGTATTTGTATCCATAGTTAGTAGCAGATCCATAAACACAGCTGAAATGTTTTTTCTAAGGTTATTTTGAAGAACCATCAGTTGTGGGTCCCTTATTTGGAACATGCTTCTGATTCAGAATTGGGACACATACTATGATTGTAGTTCTGAATGAAAAATCCATAGGATTGAGCTGCACAAGAATACTGTGAACAGAGAAGAATAGGAACCAAACAGCTAGCAACCCATAGCTCTATTTTAAAATGATGGCTAAGTTGGCCACACGCATCCTTGCTAAGTTGGTAAATCTGGGTTAACCGTTTCCCTCTAAAGTAGTAATTCCACAATATTTCATTGTGCTGCTTCTATGAAAGCGGGATCTTCCTATCCAGAGCTAGGGCTTTAGCTCAAGCGGCTGTGCTGTTGAACCTTAATGAGGATGGATGGGGAGGGAGCTGCGTATTGGCACCTTAGAGCTCGCCAGTGTATAGTATGGCTTCTCACGACCTTGAGGATATCTTTCAGAGGATCAACATGACTTTTTCCTTTCCTTTCCTAGCTATGAAAAGCGTCTTTTCTGATGAAGATCCCTTACACCTTTCCAGAGCCTCTTTTTGCCCTCTGGTGCCTGTGCTGTTAATGAACATGAACTGCTGTCTTCACAGAAGTGCCATTTTGCTGGGGGGGAGGAGGAGCTGGGCCCAGCCTCCCCACCCAGTTCATCAGCTGCTTTGACCAAGGCTGAAGAGAACATACTAGCCTATTCCAGAGGAAGCTGAATGAGGCTCTTGAGAGGGGCCCTGTATGTGTGTGTGTTTTTTTTTACAATAAAGCAGAGGAGGGGGCCTCTTCCAACTTTTTCCCAGTGCAATTGCAGCTTTTTGATGCAGGGGTTGTCTTCCTTTTCTGTTTGCAGTTTCCAAGGAATGACTACAGCATGTACTCTCAAATGTGTGCTGGTGGATTCTTTACATACATACAGTCATCCATTTTACTTAAGAATTCAGTGTGGGTTTTCCATACTCCAGCATGACTATTTTGCTGCCTGAACTACATAGTAATTTCTCCCTGCTGAAGTCATGTTACACCTGCTTTTCCCATTCACACAGTGAGGTCAAACCCTGGAAGGTAGCACATACCTCCTCCTGCTCAGAGGTGTGTTTTACATTCTTAGAGGCATGTTCTACTAAGAAACTGAGTAATAATCTTCAAGGACTACAAGGAACTTGCCTCGTTCTGTTCTTACATGTGTTTTCAAGTGAGTGGTTCCCTTTTGAATTTTCACACAAGTATTTATTCACACATTCATGGTGGATCAGTGTTATTGGGAGGATTGGAGCATGTGGTGGAAAGCTTTTGGCATTAGTTAAGTGAGATGCTTTTCTATTCTTGCCAATAAAATTCAGAATGCCCTTTGAAATATGGAGTGCTAGTGCTCCCTTTGCTAGTGAAGTGAGCACTAGCAAAAAATTTCAAATAGCAATTATGAAATGTAAATACCTGAAAGCTGGCACCCAAGAAGCTGATGTTTGAAAATAGACTTGTCCTATATTAAATTAATTCTGATTCCAGAACACATGAACTGGAGGTAGTGAAAGAATGAAGTCTAGTGAATAGAAATGGTGATGAGGTAGCTTGGTGAAGGCATTTGGTAGTGGAGTGCTATGGAGAAACTACAGACAGCACATTCGTAAATGTGGATAACTGGCTGGAGAACTCCCATGTGCCACCAAACAATCACGGCAGAGCAACGTGAAAAAATGCTTCCATGACACTGCATAGTGGTGCAGGTGTCTGTACTGAAAAGGGAGTAACCATTCCCACTGCACCTGTGGGGTACATCTAGATCAAGAACAAGGAGTGTGCCTCTTTCCAGATTATATTGCCTGCAATTCCCATCATTCCATGCTATTGCCTATGCTGAATAGGGCCAATGGGAATTGCAGTCCAACCACATATGAAGGATCATAGACTCCCTATCTGTTACGTGTTTACCTCTCTTCAAAGCAGCTCAGCACTGAGCCCCAGTAAGCTGCCCACTGATGGTAGAACACTTGGGTCTGGCCCACCCATTCAGCTATATTACAATCACATGTACATGATACAAGTGGGGGAAAGAACTGTATGCTTGAAGAAAAAAATTGAAACTTACTCTAGACCTTGTCCTCCTGATTTTTTATGTTCTTTGACAAAGCATTTTCTTAGCTCGTACTTGGCTACAGTCAGTGAAGTTATACTGTGCACCTCAGATTTGCATACTGTGTCATACTATTACACTTGTGTCTTGCAGTGTGGTATTATGAAAATATACATGAACTTATCTCTCGGCCACTCCAAAATGCCTGAAAAACTAGGCCCCGGGGGGGGGCTTGCTGAAAGAGGTGCCCTGTACTTAAAATGTTTGAAAGTCTGTTGTCTCTGAACAGGTGCCCCCTTTTCTACTGATCTTTACACAAGAGCAACTTAGCTTTTGAAGCACTATGCTATATTTATGGTCTGTTATATGTGACTAAAACACAAAAATAAGTTTTAACTGGTCCTTTAGTACCTCTTTCTGCATGATTGGGTGGTGGGTGTCCTAAAATTAGAATTTTGAACCTAGCTACATGATGTATCTGTTTCATTCATTTTGCTCTGCAGATTCTTTGAATGTGTGGAGTTGCAAGAGACTGGCCAGAGTAACAAAACTCCTGCTTATCATGCACGTAGCCACATTCAATCACTGGCATTTCCAGACAGGGCTAGGAAAGATGCCAGGCACTGTAGCCAGTACTGAATAAGGTAGACCAATTATTTGATTCAGTATGAGACAGGGTTTGAAGCAGTCTTTGAGGTGGCATTCTGTGGTGCAGAAAAAGTTAGTGGAGGTATAGGGAGGAGCTGGAAGGCAAGCCTTTTGATAGCTGGCAGGAATGGATGTCACCTCAGTACTGCCTAGGATCAAAGGGATACTGGCACTACCTCCTAACTCAGACTGGGCAACTTCTTGTGCTCCAGATGTTTTGGCTGACAACTCTCAGCCCTAGCAAGCATGCCCAATAGCGACAGACGATGGGAACTGCAGCTCTAGAGATTTTTGTCCCAGAAGTGTTTGCCCAGCACTGTTCTAACCTACTGGGGTTAACACAAATAGAGGCCTGTTCTTCCCTTTGCCATTAAGCATTCTATAGGTTCTTAAGACGCTGTGCTTCATGGCTTGCGAACAGATATACTATATACATCCAATGCTTTAGAAAGACTGCAGGACAAATGTGTACTCCACTGGTTTGAGCAGTTTGTATCTCTTCTGCAAGTGCAGTCTAAGAAATCAAGGATGGGGCTTGCAAAGCTGAACTAGATAAAATAACAGCCTTTCAGTTTGTTGTGTGATTTCATAGGCAGGACTTTCCCCACTTCTTATACTTAAACGGATCAGCATAGTAAGCTATTGTAACTGACAGTGCTGGAACAGGTGGCCCACTGAGATGCTCCAGCAGAGCTTTCTGCATCTTAAAATGTGACTTGAAGGGGAGAAGCCACAAGTGTCAGTGGTGCAGCATAAACTGTGCACACACAAGGCCCCTGGTTCAATCCATGGCATCTTCAAGGGGACTGGAGAGATCCTTAAGACAGTATGAGACACTCTTCCCAAAGAGGTGCAACTGGTACCCTCACCCTGTTTTTGCTGCCAAGTAAAGGCTTAAATTTAGTACCTGCTTTTAAAACTATGGTTTTATTTGCTTTTCACTGCTGGTTTTAGTGTTTGTATTAATCTCCTGTTTTGATTTTATGTGGTTTTAGAATTGTTTTACTTTACCATAGATATACTCCATCGTTTTTTTGTGAGCCGCCCAGAAAGCCTTGGGGTATGGGGCAGCATACAAATGCAATCAAACAATGCCTTCCCCACCCCGATACCTCTCAGATGCTCTGTACTTCAGCTTGGCTAACAGTGGGCAATTCCAAGAGCTGTGATCTGAAACAGCTGGAGGCTAACAGGTTGGGAAAGGCTGGTACAGACAGTAGGGAGCCAGACCAATGCTGACATGGCAGAAGGAAGCTTCCTGTGCTGTCTTGTACTATGGGATTATTCTGGCAATCTTATCCTGCCTTGACATCTCCTGCCTTAAGTTCCATGCAGAAAGGGTGGGACAGCAATGCAAAAATTATTCATTCCTCATAGCAGGGGTGGACAATCCAGTGGCCTCTTGATGTTTTGGAGTACAGTTCCCACAATCACTAGTCATACTGGCTGGAATTAATAGGAGTTGTGGCCCACAATATCTGAAGGGCATGAGGTTGCCTAGCATTGTGCTACATAAATGCTTCATAAAACACACAGTTCGTGGGGATAAGGAATGGGGAGAAAGACTGATTGATTCAAAGTACAGCGGAGATGGCTAAATATGTCCATTTCTTCCCTTTGAGGAAAACATCCAAAAAAGTAGCAGCTATTTCAGTGCTGAGTCACAACTGAGTCCTGTTCTTATATGAACAGAAGCAAAACCAGAACACACACACTGCCAGATTATACTGTTTCAAGTATATTCTGCCTCTTCTCCACTCTTGACTAGCTCACAGTCCCACACTAGGATGGTGTGTTTCACTCTGTAGCAACAACACGCTTGGCCATGATCCGTCTTTCTTTGGCTGATGCTGCTTGGAAGCAGGCGGGGCTGCCGGGCACAGCAGTGAAGGTGGCAGGAATGACAGCCAAGTTCCCTTTTCTGCCCTGGCAGGCTCTTCCCAGCCAGGGACTCTTCAGCTTGCCCTAAAAGACTCAGCCACCTGTAACCATAGTAGGTGGGATGAGTCCAGCAGCTGTCACACGTTGCTCAGTTATCAAGAAGTTGAAAGTTGCACAGGCATTGGGCTGTGAAAGCAAAGAGACAAATGAGTGTGTGGGAAAACAGGGTGCAAAGCCAATGGATTAAATGCATCTGAGAGTGTTCAATATGAAGAGAAAGTGCATTTCCCTGTGAACCTCTCTCTAACTGCTGAGAGTTTGTGCTGCCTATGCAGCAGCAATGTAAATGGAGAAGAGGTACTGTTTCTACTTTTCAGAAAAACTATGTAAAAACCACATCAAAATAGAGTCCTCACAAATCCTGGGGTGGAACAGAACATATATAAACAACCACCTCTTGAGATACAAATAAATATGTTCCATGCACATGTTTCAGTTTCAGGACTCTTAGCAGATACTGCCAGCATCTTTTTGCATTATTTTTAAACAACCATGAAAACTAGAATCATCATGCCTCAGCTTTATACATACGAAACCAAACGAGAGCCAGCTAAAGACATTTTGCTGCCTGAGGCAAAGGACAAGGTTTGGACCAGATTGGCAGTTGAATGTGCCGATAGGAAAGCATCCTCTCCCACATCCAAGAGCAGCAGACTAGCTTAAGGAGTACAGAACAAGACACACAGCACACAGACTTCTGTCTTCCATCATCTCGCTGTCAGTTCCTGCCCCAGCACCTTAATCCTAAGGCAACTGTCTTACTCTGCCTAGGGCTGGCCCTGCACTGGATACTTCATGAGACAATGAGATTCCAAGACCCATGTCCCATCTAGAGCCACAAAGCCAAACAAGTCTGCAAGACACCAATAAGCCCTGTCTTAAGATTGAAGGAGGAGATTCCCTTCTTATGTTTCCCCACCCTCCTCTACCCATTCTCTTACCGTATCTTGTACTTCCACGGCAATCCCACACTGACGCATTAATTTCAAGACTGCAGGATCCAGCCTCTGCACTTTATCTCCTGTGCCCAGTATCAGGATTTCTAGGACAGCCAATGGAAGAAGATGGAATAAAAGGCCCCAGTTCAAGCTCCCTGACTGAGTGTGCTTTGATCCTAGGGACTAGAAGCAAAGATGGTCAGCTATGACTGGCATGCCAGCTGACAGCAACTGCATTTGGCTCTGGCCAGCTGCTATTAATCCTATTCACTGGCTTAGGTGTTCAAAAAAGCTATAATCTTTGCTCATGAAAGGGCAAAGTGATATCCTTTGGGTTTTTTGGCTGCACCTGACCTTTCTCAGTGTCCTGTACTTTTACATGATATGAATATTTCTATGGATCACAAAATCCTGATTAGTCCTGTCAAAACCTGCATTTTAAAAGGAAGCCTGAGGTTTGATAGCATGCTGTCAAAGCTCTGTGTTCCCATAAAGGAGGTAGCTCATATTTTTCCATCTTCCCAAGCACCCAGAGTCTCAGGAGAGGATGGAAAAGATTCAGGACACTGAGAAGAGTCAGATCCAGCCAGAAAACGGACCTTGTTGCAAGCATTAATCTACAGGCCGCTTCCTTTTGCAAGCAAAGTTCACACATAGTTTTGCTTTCCTTGATAGCTGTCAGGGAGAACAAAGTTTAAAAAATAACCCAATTGGGAGCTTCTCTGAATCAATGCCCACAACTGGTACCTGCTAAATTTTATAGCAGGCGCCTCCCAGGACGCTGTCCATGCCAGGCATCCCATTTTAGACCCATAGTGCTATGCAGCTCTAAGCTTGCACAAATCCAGGTAAAAATGCTTCCCATTTTAAAAGAAGGTGACAAAGCAGGTACCACACTGGAAAGGTTGTCACTTGCTGTCAACGCAGACATAACCCCCCTTTAAAATAATCCAAAAAAATGGGGGGAGGGAAAGCAGAGATACATGGTTGGCAAGAGGACACTGAGCCAGTGGGGTTGCCCCACCATGCTCCTCGGTGGGATGGCTGTCACCCACCAGCGCCGGACCTGGCAAGCATTGGAGTTTTGCTGTTCTTTCTGAGCAGTTTGCTCGTAGCTTTGTGGATCCAACAATCCATGGGTGATGCCCCAGGAAGCCACTCTGCAGTAAGTGTTCCAGGTTCTCATGACACAACCACCTGTTCATATAATGTGAACCCAATCAATGCATGCAAATCTAAGTGCAATAATTGTCTCGTATGCTATATTTTTGGGTTAGCTCGGTGCAGAACTGCACCTTACACTACAAGTCATTCTTATTGCCTAAACTGGTGAATTTAGAGCCAAGACAGCACCTCACTTAGTGTGACTGAAAGCTGCCATCTTGTTCTCCTGCTGATGGGAATCCGCTCAGCCCTGTGCCTGTGAATCAAAATAAGCTGGTTTAGGGTTAGGAGGGCAGGCAGGAATTAGATTATCCAGATCTAGTTTATTTATACATGTATTTATAGGTCACCTATATCTGCCGAGGCCTTCCTAAGTGGCTTGCAATGCATAAATTATTATTATTACAGCCAAGTACCCAGAAGCCCACTTCCCTAGCACAGGCTTCCATAGGAGACGGCTTTCTCTGCATTCCCACACACACAGCAGAAGGAAAGAAAGTAATTCAAGAGCAACAGGCATCACATACCTATCTTGGGCTCCAGGAGGCGGAACAGGGCAAGGCTCTCAGCATTGATATCCTCATACGTGCCAACCTGGAGAGGGAATGGGCCCAGCAGAGAGAACCGTGTAAGAGGAAACCCCATAAGTACTTTGCAACTGAAAATACAGAGCATGGAGCCAAAGGACTTCCATCAAAATGCATTTCTAAGGTGCTTTGGAGGCTTCCACTTTAGTTGTTTTTGCACTCTGCTTTCCTTCCTCTGTGGAGAACCCCCGACACACACACACGTGAAAGATGCAGTGGGCCATTTACTTTTGCCTTTCTCAAGTAGGTGCTTTGGACTTCAATTCATATCAGCCCAGGCCAGAATCACTAATGGGCTAAAGGCTACTGGACTGGGAGCAGCTGATCTAGCCCCACCCTGGATGGCCCAGAGAAGCAAGAGTGCCTAATCTTAGCAGATGCCTGTTTAGCCACTTTGCCAATCTCGTAACTGCAGCCTATGTGAGCACCAGTGCAGAGCAGCTGAGCCCCCCCTGAACCCCCTGAACCAGAAAGCTCCTGCTCCAAATCCGCCAGTGCTGGGAAACCAGCCACCTTTGCCAAGGCATTATTTTTCAGCTCCTGCCACATACAACGCAGCAGGAGTCCCATGTCCATGCAGATATGTTCCAGGCCCCGCAGGGGATGCCCGAAACCATGCATAATAGCAAACACTGCATGTACTATACCCTGTACACAGACATGTCTTTTTTCACAATTTCATGGACAGATTTGTTCTTACCATACATCCTACCAACCTCAGCACATAATTTTTTTTCATTCCCTATTAAACTGAGAATTTTCACTTAAAAGTAGTATTTCTCCAAAATGGAATTTCCCCCTTAAACATCCTTGCACTTATTATAAAGTGGGGTGACAGTTTTCTGGGAGGGGATTAGGATTTACTTCTCTTGAATCAAAATGAAGCTCCTGTCCCTTTAAAACTTGCAGCATAAGGAAAAGTTTAGCAGCTCCAGCTTTTCCCACATCATGTTGCACTGAGGGTAGAAGTCCCACTCTGATGTCCCCCCACCCAGAGCCTGTTTAGTACATTAGGCAGCTGGTCTCATGACTGGAAGGTCCTATTCTAAGCCTCTGAGAGGGGCCACCACCCTTTTTAGCAGAGGGCCCTCCATGCTGGGTGAACGCTTGGTGGAAGGGGGTCTCTGCTTCCAGACCCAAAGGGCCCAGTCGCAATAAAGCCCATGCCCAATACTTTGCACCCATTTACCATATTTTGGGCCCCACTAGCACTCTAGCTCAGCACCAGAATTGTAAGAACCTTCCCTAAACTGATGGCCTCCACCTATGTTGGACTGCAACCCCCATCATCCTCAGTCAAATATTTATGACCAACATGGATAAGGTTATGGGATCAATGATGGGCACAAGGCCGGGAAGGATGGATTCCCTGGAGGTTCTTCTGAGCTGTTGACAATGCCATGCTAGCCAGTGATGAGACAGCTCCTTTGGTTCTTCCCCTAGCGTTTGGGGGCAGGAAGAGACAGATGCAATGGATGCCAATTCCGGAGCTGTTTCCTGCCCCACACTCACATTCCACTGGAGGATGGCCTGTGAGAAGACAGCACAAGGTCCCACCACCATGTTCTTGCTGATGGTGAAGCCCCGGTTGGTATAACCTTCGATGTACATGATGTCTGGGGACTCTTTTTCCAAAAGCTGGATGGTTGTCCTCTGGTACATTTCATCATCTGAGGGCGTGAGACGGTGACCCCGCTGTGGCTGCCTGTCCATAGGAGAATGAAGAGCACGTTTGAGTCTAAGGATTCAGTTAACACAGATCACTGCCTTGGTAATTCGCATCACTCCTTCTAATAGCAAACTCCATTCCCAAACACCACCAGCAGTGCATCCAAAATGGGGCTACTGAGAAACAAGAGAAAGGTATCCTGAAGGTCTGCAGCAGTTAATATATATATATTTGGGGAAGAGACCTCAAAGGGCAAACCCTCCAAAATCTAATGAAGCACACACACATTCATAGAACAGTGAGGGTCTGTCTGAGACAGAAGTGGGGAGGAAGCCAAAACTGGGGGAAGAATTGCATATCCTGGAAGAAGGCCTGGCTGACTGAAACTCTGAACAACAGCACTCCCCACACTGCAACATTTTGTTGCTGGACCCATTTGTACAATTAGAATTCCAATTTCAGCCACAAAATAGGCCCAGTAAAAGGAGGGAGAAATAACTCCACTCCAGAATGCCTCCAGCAGAAATGCAGCAAGGCAGCTGAAGTGTGTTAGCAGTACCCATATTAAGTGATCTTCAGCAGCTGTTAATCACCTGTGCAATAGTCAATTTTGAAGAGGGATGCTCATCATAACACTCCCCCTAACCCCGCTCAGAAACTGAGCTCATCTGTATCAGCAAATCCGTTCCAGAAGTTTTATTCCCACCAGGAACAGATCCTTTTGTAATGCCCATTCAAGACTAAGCTGCCACAAAACAGTTTGCATTACAACAAAGAACAATGATTTTAGTGGGAAATGCATACTGCTCTAGTTACTGTAGGAATTGCAGCTGGGGGGGGGGAGAATGAAAATCTGAGAGTACCCTTGCTTTAAAGGGGGGGGGGCAGGGGCTGCATATTTGTGAGCCCTGGTTCTGCTACACCACTGCTTACAGTTGTCCTTTAGGAGAAAAGCCACAACTAGCCAACAATACACCACAGCAGAAAAGGTAAGCCTAAAATTGTATACTTGGGGATAAAGCATGATGCATGGTCCACATTCACCCTTCCTCAGCCTTTTCGATATGGATCCCAAAAAGCAATGGTATCCCCACTCCACGGGTTAGATGGGAGGAAAATCAGTGGTAGATGCACAGCAATCAAATGTCGTTGTGGGTAATCACTATTTGTGTCAATCTTCTCTTGCAAAGCAGCAAGGTAAAGAGGCAGTAGCAGCACCTTATTGCAATACCAGAAAGATGGAGCAGGGTAGAAATACAAGGCCGCAAATAGTTTGTGTCTGCACCCTTCTAGTATCCTCTATGACAGTGGTGAGCAGACATCAGGGTCATGGGATCTATTCTGTCTTGTTTATTAGAACTCCAAGATCTACTAACCAGAGCCCTGGTGCCAAAAAATGTACGCTAAGAATAAAAAAGATTTGCACACACATTTAGTACATGAATTTGTCTTCAGCAACAGAGCCAAATTCACAAATCCTAACATGCCTACTCTTGGATCATGCATATATTCATGTTTTTGTAATAGATTAAGCCATTTGGTGAGGCAGTACTACTCAAAAGGCAGGTAAAGTGTCTTTCACATAAATAAAACTGACATTTTGTTACGTGCTACAAGTCTTCTCTGACTTATGGTGACCCTATGAAACCTAGTGTAATGGCCTTTTAAAAGGCCAAGTCAAAAGTCACAAAATACTGTAAAAGCTTTTGAATTTTTCAGAACTCTTCATCAGGCTAGATGGTCATTTCCTTTTCCTGGCAACACCTGGGAGGTCCCAACTGTAAGTCAGGATCATCTCAGTACCTGGTTAAGCTTCATTTAAATGTCTATCTCCATCTCCCACTTTCCATCTCAGGTCCAAATAGCTTGAACATCACACCCCCAATCTTGCCTGAGTTCCACAAAGTGTGAAAATTTGCACGGAATTTTGTGACCTTTTGAGCCGGCCTAAAAAAGGTAAAGACATGAAGTCCAGTCATGACATTAAGTCCAGTCATTAAGTCTGCACTTGACACTAAGTCCAGTCATGCCTGACTCTAGGGGGCAGTGCTCATCTGTTTCCCAGCAGAGGGAGCCAGCGTTTGTCCGCAGACAGTCTCCGGGGTCATGTGGCCGGCGTGACTAAACACCGAAGTGCACGGAACGCTGTTAGCTGCCCACCGAAGTGGCACCTTTTCATCTACTTGCATTTGCATGCTTTCCAACTGCAAGGTTGGCAGGAGCTGGGACGGAGCAACGGGAACTCACCCCGTTGTTCAAATTCGAACTGGCGACCTTTCGATCAACCAGCCCAGCAGCACAGCAGTTTAAACCACTGCGCCACCTGCAGGCCCTGAGCTGGCCTAAGAAAGGCATTACAGCAACATGGATTTTAGCATATTCTAGTACAACCCGATCTACCTTCTGCCCACTCCTGCTCTATGGGTTGCCAGACCACCCAGCACTTTCAGGCCGTCGATACATTCTGCCGTGCTTATAATAGCACAAACTACATATAAGTAAATAAAAGGGGAGTATCTCGTAGGCTTTATGCCAGCCTATCACAGTCCGGAGCCCTTGGACTACAACTCCCGTCATCCTCATCCAGCAGGGATCGCTGCTTTTCGCTATAATGAATTATCTACCCAAAACCTCAAGGAAAGCGATTAGTCTCCTCCCACCACGCTCGCCAAGAGGTACAAGCAGCAATGGTCAATGGCCACCAGCTCAAGTTCTGCACGAAACGAGGGCTCGGCAGCCTTGGCAGGCACGGTGCATCTGGCTCCCTCGGCGTACCTCGAGGTCGAGGAGCGGGTCACTGCGCACGCTCCATCCCCTCCCATTTCGCGCTATGTGCTTCTCCCTGAAGGAGATCCTCCTGGATCTGTACTTACCTGCTGGGGTACATGGGCCTGGCTGCAGCCGCGAGCCTCCAGCCCACAGCTGAGCCCAGCAGCCTGAGCGCGGCCATCGCGGCAGAAGCACCCAAGGCCGCGGAAAGGCAGCGTGCGTGCTCCCGAGCGGCCGCGGCTGCCGGAGGGAGGAGGAGCCCAAGGCGGAGGTCGCGAAGAGCAGCCGGCGCCCCCTGGCGCCCGCCCCGCCTCGCGACGCGCACGCCTCGCCTCCCGATCCTCGTAACCTCCGCCGAGGAGAACCGTCCGCACAATCGTCGGGAGCGCAGATTAGAGCGCTTACGCCACTCATACGCATGACCGCGGCGTTTTGCGCCAGATGGGTTGATTCAGAAAATCGCCGCCGGGCACGCTCTCCTCTCGCTGTCTTTGTAGGGTGGCCAGATGCAAAACTGATTTTTGCAATCTTATCTGCCATGTGTATATATAAGCGATACAACGTTTAACCATAAAGGACAAGACCCCGGTACCTGCAGGAAAAGGCATTTATTTCAGCAGCTGTAGCTCACATGACAAATTATATTGGCTGAAATTCCCACTTCCATCAGGTGCTGGAGCCTTGTCCGCTCTTGAATCTCGTCATCCCATTAACTCACCTTCCAAGAAAAAGGACATGAGCAGTCACCAAATGTTTGCCTTGGGCCCCAGAACCTACTGCAAGCAAAAACATAAAGACAAGATACCGCTGCAAAATACAGCATTAGGGTGCAATGTAATGCATCTTTAGGCAGGAAAAAGTCCTGCAAGTTTTTTTTTTCTGCCCTAACATGCATAGGATGCCCCTTTAATGCCGTTTCTGTTTTCACCAGTTGTGCAAGAGTGAGAAACAGTTCATCTGCTCTCCTGAAGACTGCTCCCGACTCCTTCCCTTGAGAGTTTCCTATTGGAGGGCTCAAAGTTGGAACTGGGCCTTGCTTACGCTATCAAACAATTTTGCTCCATATTTAATCATAACAGGTTGCACATGTAAGGCAGAAATTGCCTGCTCTGGAATCTCACTAGCCTCGCTCACCATGGCCTCTTTCATGTATGGTTAACAGGACAGACTACAACTCCCAGGAATCTTTCCCTCTGAAAGAAAAGAACTAAAGCTGTTACTGATCTATATAGGCTCTGATTGTTTGTATGGCTATTTGTGCTTTGGGGGCTAATTGCTCCTCTGAGAAGCCCTGCTTTCTCTACCACCTATCTTGAAACAGTCAGTGAATATAAGCAACAAGCAAATAATGGGCACGCAGTGGTTGAACAAGAAGTGGGAAGACCCAAGATTAAAACCCGGCTGGGCCACACAGGGTGCCCTTGAGCCCATTGCTGCCTTTCACCCTCATCTACCTCATGGCGTTGCTGTGAGGACAAAATAGGGAAAGGGCAAACCCTATACACCCAAGCTCTTTGGCAAATGGCGCAATGTAACCATCATAAATAAATCTGCCAGCAGAAACACATATAGCCCAAGGCTGTGGAATAGCTTCCTCTTTCACTTGAAGAAGTGTTCCTCTTTCCTTGCCTTCTGTAAACCCTTCCTTTTAAAAAAATCAGAACTTCAGGATTTTGTGATGATCCAGTGAAACTTCCTCTAGCTGATGCGTGCTGAGGCCTCATCGCCTCTTTCTGCCCTATTCACTAAGGCAGAACCAGTCAATCCAGTTGGTCCCCAGGGTTGCCATCCTTTCCCTAGCAGGACTTCTACCTGCTCACATCCCTGCCTATCCCACAGAGACACCCTTTTTCCAGCCTCTTGATGGGGGAAACAACATGGGTTTAATATGCATTTAAACTGCATCAACAGCTCTGGCAGAGACAGACCTCCTGGCCTTCTCCTGCTCCCCGAAAACACCACAAAGAGACCCTAGAGAAAGGAGTGACGTATGGAAGGAGGACCTTCTGGAAGCAGTCATTCCTCTGGCAGGAGGTGGGTCCTGGGTCAAACCCCGTTACATTTCAGCCAGTCATGCAGCTTTTAAAGGAGCAGGAGCAGCATGACCAAGAAAGCAGGCAGCTGGTTTATTTCCTCCTCTAGCTCTAGCTCCATAACAAAGTACCTCACTCACAGGGTGAACCCCAACCAGAACAAAAGCCGCCTGTGCCTCCATCCTGCAGGTCCTGAGGGGAAATTTGCACCCTTTCTTTTCTTCCTATTGCAACAGAGCAACACATTTAAACAAGCAGTGGCCTTCCATGAACCTACCCTGGGATTGCACTGCCTTCCCCAAGCTGGTGCCCTGAGAATGATGGGAGTTATAATCCAAGGCATCCAAAGGTACTATTCCATCCATTTGTCCTAATATAAATATGTACAGGTCACACAAACAGTGAATGCATGACTGATATGTGTGCTGAAATCCTCATTCCATTTCTGTTCCTCCAGTTTCAGAACTCACGCGATCCATTCTGCATAACATTGTTGTCCTCCGTTTTACACTGTTCCGTTTCATCTATCTAACAGTGGGGCCCTGGTTCACGGCCCGTGAAAACAGCCTTGCAGCTGACTACGCTTAGCTGCTTGGAGGCTGCCACATGTGACAAAAGGGTATTTTTGTCTCACCATCACAGTCCTGCCCTAAAGTTGGTTTCGACATGAGTAGCTGCAACCACAAGGAGCCGCTTCATACAAGCATTGTGGCATGAGCTGAAGTGGACTCAATTCATTATGCTGGTTTTGGCTTTTAAAGCCAAGGGCTTAGGCCCTACTTATCTAAAGTACTATGAATTTTTCATTACTCCTTAAATAATGAAAATCAAAGAAGTCCCATGCCAGGGTCCCTACCGTCCAAAGTTCATAGGATGGCTATGGGATGTGGAGCAGGGCCTGCCATATTTCCTTGTTCAAAACTGTTAGGGGCCTGCATTCTAGGAGTGCACAGAAGCAGAGCCAAGAGTAGATGGAGTTATAAAAATCATTCTTATTGTTATCATCAATACACAATGCAGAAAAATGCATTCCCTTCTAGGTATTCTCTGTTGCCAACTTCCCTTCATTAGCACTGTAGCAGAGACAGACCAGGGAGGAGGATGAGCATCATCATCATCATCTGGCATAATAGCTGCACTGGGTGCAACTGGGAATTGCCCAGATGCCTGAATTGTTCTCATGTGGTGGCCAGTAGGTCCCCAGGCCTGATCCAGATTAGCATTTTCCAACCTGACATCCTCCAGACATGCTGGATTATAGTTCCCATCATGCCTGCCTGTGCACAGTGGGGGAGACTGGAGGTATAGTCCAGCTTATCTGGGGGGCCCAGATGGGAGAAGGCTGATCTAGAGAGCAACCCCTTTTCAGTAGTGGGAGCTCACCCATGGAATTCTTGATGGATTCCATCAGCAGAAAGGCTAACCTTCCCCACAGGTACATCCAAGAGAATGGCAGCCAGAGCCAAGCAGAGCGACTAAAGCTCACTTAGGCAATTTCCTGGAAGGAGAGTGGTGGGGACCTGAGGCTCTCCAGATGTTGTTGGACGTAAGAATACATCAGCCATACAGTCTGGGGGCTGATCGAGGCTGGAGCGCCACAGCTGCCCCAACCCAAAGGCAGGGCATCACAAGATTGGCCAAAACTGTTTTTGGAAAACTTTTAAGAGAGTATGTTTTAAACTAAAAAGTTGTTATTTTGATCCTTATCATGTGTGGGAGTTTGCTTGTTGCTTTTTTTAGTGTCTTTCTTTTTATTGTTCTTTTTTCACTCTGTCTACTTACTATAGTTTTTTTTCTAGTTTGGTGTGGTCTTTTTTCCACCATCTGTGAACCACTCAGACAATACCATAGAATGTTAGCCACATTTAATACTACAATTGATGTGACGGCTCATGAAGTGGCTTGCATGAGTAAATCTGCCATCCGTGATCTGGAGAAAGAGGACGGAACAAATCTTTCACTTGTTGATTTCTATGAATAATATTGCAATCAAATCTGCGATACCGTTCTGCAGGAGCAGATGCCTCCAGGATAAACATGTTGGTTTGTTTTGCAGTGTTTTTCCCCACTGCTCATAGATCCTCCCACACAGGCTTTTTCATGGCAAAAGACACGTGTTGTTCGGCCACTGGGTTATTATAAACGAATGTGAACTTGAAGCCTGCCTTAATGAGCAGGGAGTGGAGCTGCGGGATTAGCCCTGCCCCTGGCATTATTCCGCTCCAGCGTCTGTGCCAGGGAGAAGCCTTTGTGTGCACAGCTACTTGCCTGCAGGCTTCCTCCTTGCAGACCTTTGTGCAGATGATGTCTGCGTGGTTCACTAATCGGGAGTTTATTTTATTAAAATTTTATTAAGTGAACTTACATGGACATAATTAAACACCACTAATAAACATAAATAAACAATACAATAATAACAGTGCTACCTCTACAAGGACCAACAAATCATGCTATTTAATGTTATTAATGCAGGTTGTCTCACTTCCACTTTCCTTCCAGAATTGCACTGACTCTTGTGATGGTTCACACCCCTTTCCTTTTATTAAGACATATTCAATAAACGTCTCCAAATATTTTCCAAATTATTTTCACTTATCAAGCCTTATTTCCATGTAATATCGCGAGTTCACTTGTCATTAATAGGTATAATCCATATTTCTTTAGACCAGGCACCTATTTGATTATCACCTTTTATTTTCCAATTCCTTGCTATTATTAATCTTACTCCTGTTAATAAATTTGTCACCTTTAGTATGTGCAGCCGAATCCTATGCACATTTACTCAGGAATAAATTTTGCTCATGGAATTATTTCTGAGTAACTGTGCATAGTTTCACAGACTTGGGTTACTTTCTGTGCTAGATGTCTATAATCCTATTGAAGTTTAATTTTTCTGTAAATACTCAGTTTTGATCTTTCCCACTTAGGCTGTTACCCAAAGGACACAAAACAAGAGTTTGATAAATAAGCTGTAACCTCAGATCTAGTTGAAGCGTCAGATATAGATCCTATATCTACAGTGACAATCAACTGATTAGAGAGAATTCTAATGCCCTGTTCAGTTCCTCCTTGAGACTCTGTATTTATTCAATGATAATTAAAAAAAAACTTTAAACCTGGGTCATGGATGTATAGGACTGGGCAAACATAATAAGTATTTCAAATAGCA